GCTGTCAGGGCTGCGGAGGACGACACCAGCACTCAGAATGCTGGTTTCGCGCAGCTGTGTGCCGAGCATGTGGCAAACAAGGCCACATCGCTATCGTCTGTAAAGGATGCCAGAGGGAATCGCCACGCGAAGACTTCCCCAGGAGAGGTAATGGGGCCCCAGGCAGAATAGAGTAGGATTTTGCTCCGGAAGAAGGAGCATCCTCAGAACTGGACCCCATTGCCCCCTAAAAGAAAAGCTTAGACTAAAAGTCAAGCTGCAAGGACTTCCATGTTCCATGGAACTGGACATTGGATCAGCTACGTCTATAATTTCCTATAAGGCTTTTAATTTCATCTGCAGACATGGTGGGAAATGAGTCAGACTCAAGCCGTCAGATTTAGTTTTGACAGATTTTCAAAATTCCACGTAGTGGTTAAAAGAGAAGCTACGATAAAAGTGACATTCAAAGAGTTTGAGGGTCCCTTCAGTGTTGTGATGGTGGAAGGCCAGTGAACAAGCTTAATCAGCTTAGACTGGTTTGATGCCCTGGGCATCCATGTGACTGGCATCAACAGCCGATTTGGCAGCTGTCTGCCAGGAGTTTGCGGATGTATTCAGTCCCAAGTTAGGAAAGTACAAAGGAGCACCAATTGCTCTCCACTTTGATCCAACTGTAGCCCCAATCAGAGTAAAGCCTCGTAGAGTGACTTTTGCCCTTAAGCCCAAGACTGGTGCAGAGTTAGATAAGCTCGTTCAACAGGGAGTCTTGCAACCCGTTGACAGCTGTGTGTGGGAAACCCCCATAGTTACACCGATCAAGACTAATGGAGAGGTGCGCATTTGCTCTGAATATAATTATAATTATCTGGTACCTGTAGTTAGCCACATTCTAGCATCTCTACAAGGAGGTCACTTATTTGCAAAGCTGGACCTGGCACAGGCTTATCAGCAACTGCCTGTGGATGATGCCTCTGCTGAGGCTCAAACAATAGTTACCCATAGAGGGGCATTCAAGGTTCATCGCCTGCAGTTTGGGGTCAGTGTAGCCCCAGGGCTCTTTCAGAGTATGATGGAAGACACGTTAAAAAACATTCCTGGTGTGTGTCCTTATTTTGATGATGTTTTAATTGCTGGGGAGTTAGCAGAGATACTTGCAGAACATTTAAAGGGCTGCTCTTCAGCGTTTCCATGAAACAGGGCTGAAGCTCAAAAGAGAAAAATGTCAAATAGGAGTCAACTCCACAGAATTTCTGGAATTCTGGATTGACGCTGCTGGAATACACCCAGCTGATTCAAAGCTCAAGGCTATTTTGCAGGCTCCCAGACCAAAGTCAAAGGGAGAGCTGCAGGCATTTCTGGGGTTACTTAACTTTTATCATGCCTTCCTTCCTCACAAGGCTGCATTAGCAGAGCCTCTACATAGGCTCTTAGATAAAAGGGCACCATGGCAATGGACTAGCGCCCACGAAAACAGTTTCAAAGCAGTCAAATCACTGCTATTGTCAGACTATGTGTTAACACACTTTAACGAAAAGCTGCCTATCAGTATTGCAGGTGATGCGTCATCATACGGGATTGTAACAATGCTAAGAAAAAGACTCAGGCATGTCTTGAGCAGAGGTTTGAAGCTGCAGAACAAGCTTGACAAACTCTGAGTTTATTGTTTCTTATATACTTTTTACATACATAGGCTTTACCATTAACTGCTGACATTTTACATTTATAAGTTTAACCTTTAGCTGTTGACATAAAGTAATTGAAAAATTCCTTCATATAAGCAATTATTTTCTTATTACCTGTTGAGAGCAGGTAAAAACAAATACAGGTAAATTAAAAAAGAAGAAAGAATTGATAAAGACAAGAAGAGATAAAGACAGGAAGAGATAAGGGGGAACTTAAAGCATATTATTTATTTAGGTAGGTAAGGTATTAAGTCAAAAGGGGGTGATCTTTTGGCTGCTTCCTTGGGACAAAGAGTATCAAAAGGTTATGAGGTTTGTGGGGGAGGGGAAAGCATGGCAGTTTGCTGCGTGTGCAAATTCCCCCACATCTCACTCTTCTTTATTTTATTAGTGAAGACATCATCTTAAGCTGGAGTAGTTAGTGGGTCTTAGTTTAGTATGGAAGATTGCAAGACATCTTATTAAGTAAAGAAAAAAGACACTGAAATAAACAACAACAGCTGATAAGGATAGCAACTATTATAATGAGATATTGAACAATCTTTCCAAGAAGGCCAATAGGAAGCCATGACCATAGAGCACTCCACCAATTTCCTAAGGTATCAATTTTTAAATCCGAAGCCAAATTATGTAAAACATTAATTTGCTTTTGAATAACGCTAGATTGATCAGAAACATTGAAATAACACATAAAACTGAAGCTGGGACACACACAGGTATAAGACAGATAGAGAGTAGATTTTCCATGTCATATGATTCAGAAATACAAAAGTCTGTCACTTGTGTTACATTAGCTAATTGCACCCAAATATTATATTTCATCCGTGATTCTAAAGGATGAGTGGGAGAGCTTCAGCCCCCACGCAGCAATTAAGAAGGAAAGAGAGGCAAAGAATGACTAAGGAATTTGCAGTCAAAACCACAAATATGGCAGCGCATAAATTCTCTGGTGTAGGTTCTTTTTCCTGTTGTCTCAGAACCTCCTGCGCTTTGGATGTTAGGTTCTTCACATTGCCCCAGGTCGTTGGCCAACTGCGATGGCGAGAGCGAAAGGGATGTTGTGCTGTCTGAAGAGTCACCTGCTTCATTTCTGGTATTGGGTTCTGGACTTGATGCCACAACATCTTTGGCTGGTCACACACACCAGGCTGGAATCCAGAGAGGGCCTGTAGGAGCAAGCACAGAGCATAGCCTCGCCCCCAAGTTAATAAAGGAACTGGACCTAACCAGGTTTTATCAGGCAATTGCCGATAATATACCAATGGATTAGAAAGCACAGCTTTCTGCTGAAAGTGACGCTGGTAGGCAGTAGTGTTTTGAAAAGAAATATTTAGCTGGTTTAAAGTTATTAAGACTTTATTGATTTGATGCAAATTAGGTACCCTTGATCCCTCCTTTTTTAATTGTTTATGAAGGCAGTCCTTAAAGGACCGATACATATGTGAGAAACAAAGGATAGCTGCTGTAAAGTTAAAAACAAAGCCATAAGATTGGAGTTGATCCTGGGCGTGATGTAAGCACCTGTAAGATTAAAAATAAGTTGGCACACATAATGAGAATCAGAGATTAAGTTAAAAGTCTGTTGAGAAAAGGTGTGGAAAGCTAAAATAGCGGCAGATAATTCTGAGCGTTGTGATGAGGATTGCACTGCAGTGTAGACAGATGATATGAAATACAACCTATATAGTCAGCATTGAAGAGATAAGTTATTCTGAAAATAAAATTGAAAATCAAATTTTGGAATAGGAATAACAATATTAATTAAATCAGTCCCATTTCAAGGACAAGCTTGATTGTGTCCTAAGGTTATTTCAGCAACAGCCTGGATAAAAGATAAAACATTTTGGGATGGGATAAGTAAAGCCATTCAATACAATATACTTTTTGCACTTCTAACATAGCTAATACTCCTGTAAGTATCTTACTAGTAAGAAATATCAAAAGTGTTAAGTGACAATTCCTATGTGGAATTCTGTCCACAAATTGAGTACTCAAGTACTTAATTTGCTCAACTGTGGTAAATGCTGGATCTCCAGGTTGTTTTCCTTTGGTCAATAAGTTAAATTCCAAGTTAATCAAAGATGGAAACAAATTTCTATTAAGTAGGTTAAACATTTACAAAACTTAAGTTTTGCTAGCTGAAACTGCAAGAGTGGGGATTAAATTTCATCTCCATTCGCAAACTGGAATTCTAAGCAGAGAGGGGAAAAAAAGTTTAAAACGGACAGTTCCCCCCTTCTTTCTTTTGGTCTCTCTTGCTCTTCACAGCCAGTTGAAAAACAAAGGAGACAGGAATTTTTTTTGTTACAAACTTCTCACTACTTATTTTTGATAACAAAAACTGGGGTGTTCCATGGACTAGTGGAAGGGGCAATGTGTTTGGCTTGTAATTGTTCTTGAACAAGAATTTTTAAGGCCTGTAATTTGTACAGAGGAAGAGGCCATTGTTCCACCCAAACAGGTGTAGTAGTTAACCATGTTAAGGGTAAGGCAAACATTTTATTCATCGAAGATGATGGTAGCCCCCCATTTACTAAGCAAGTCTCGTCCCCAAAGGTTGACATGAATGTCAAGAATGAAAGGACGAAGTTGAACAGTTACAGTAGAATTAGGAAGACTTGCAGAAAGAAATTGTGTACTTTGTCGTGCACCTTGTCTCCCTCCTACACCCCAGACACTAGGGCATGGGTCAGTGGGCCAAGATGCAGGCCAATCTTTAGCTGAAATTACTGAAACATCAGCACCTGTATCAATTATGCCCTCAAAAGGCTTACCCTGAAAAAAGACTGTTTGACGGGGTCACTGTGCCGGGTGGGGGAGCTGCCAATGCTGCTGCCATGAGATTAGTAGATCCCCCCAAGTGGCCATGATTCCACCCTCTCCAGCCAGCCAGTCACCATCACCCGACCTACTCTTCACCTGGCCAGCCGGCTGGCACAAAACCTCACCACTCTTCTCCTCCTCCTTGTCCTCCCCACTCAACTGGCTGCCAGCAGCTTGGTGGCTCTGCTTCATCCAAGCTGAAGAAAGTGGAGGTGCAGCAGTGAGATTGCTCTCAAATAAGAGCCGGGTGCACTGCTCGCTCGTGTGCACCCACCTTATTGAGTAATCCCACTGCTGTGCCTCCGCTTTCTTCAACTTGGATGGAACAAGGCACCCAAGCCACTGCTGTCTGCTTGAGTGGGGAGGACAAGGAAGAGGAGGAGGGTGGTGAGGTTTTGTGCCAGCTGGCTGGCCAGACAAGGAATAGGTTGGGTGAGGAAGAGACAGAGGACCACTGTGGAGCTGGAAAGAAGGTGCCATGTGGGTCTGATTAGGGAGGGTGGGATGGGGGTTTCTGCCAAGCCGGGGAAATGGGCCTGATGGGGGGAGCTGCCAATGCCACTGCCATGAGGCTTGGCTGATCCCCACCCCACCCCAGCCAGCCACTATCTTCCTACCTACTCTTCACCTGGCCAGCCAGCCTCACACTCTCCTCCTCCTCATCCTCCCCACTCAATTGGCCACCAGCAGTTTGCGTGGCTCTGCTCCATCCAAGTTGAAGAAAGCAGAGGTGCAGGATTGCTTTCAAAAAATAATAGCTGGGTGTGCTGCTTCCTCGTGTGCGCCCAGCTTATTGAGAACAATCCTGCTGCTGCGCCTCCGCTTTTTTCAACTCGGACAGAACAGAGGCACCCAAACCACTGGTGGCTGCTTGAGTTGGGAGGATGAGCTTTGCTGATGCTTCTGGGCCACACCTGGGCTATGCCTTGCTGCTGCCTCCCAAACTCCACCTTCACCACTGGTTGAAGCAGCGATGGAGTGCTCTATACTGGGGGGGGGGAAAGCAGCAGTGGCAGTGGGGCACTTCATGTGGGAGGGGAAGCAGCAGGGCTTTGTAGCTCCCAGTGTTTTCTTTTCTGTGGAAAACATGTCCAAATGGCTTTTTGAGTATTTAAGGTTGCCGACCCATGGTCTACACACATCTATCAGGATTGATTTCTGTTGACTGCCTGGACCGATTACTGTAGTGTCAAATTCCAAACAGATCCCATGATGCTTCAGCCATTTCTATTTCTTGGCTTGCCTACAAATCCATGGGGAAGGGGGGATGAATGGAATGTGTATTTGCAGGTGTGAGCTGTGAAGTCTGAGAATCAAGGTTATTCAGATTATTTACGAAGTAACGAAAGATTTCTCTCATAACAATTGTCTGGTGTTTAATTGGGGAATGTGACTTGCACTGTCAGGGGAAAGGGGAGTTTCTATACTTTTAATTTACTGTTCTGGTGTCAATTTAGCCAGAGCTGGTTTTCTATTCATCAGTGCTGATATGGTGTGCTCAATAAAGTTTTATATTTAGAGATTGGAATGTTTCAGCTATGCTTACTTCGTTGGGATCATCAGTCAGAACTTTGACACTAGTTTTCTTGACAAGATTTTGGAAATGGTTTGCCCTTGCCTTCATTCTAGAGCTGAGAGAGAGTGGTCCAAAGTCATCCAACTGGCTTAGAACCTAAGGCAGGACTAGAATTCATGGTCTCCTAGTTTCTAGCCTACAACCACTACAACAAACTGGCTGTATTCCAAATCTGACTACTAATCACAATTTCTCCCCTTACAGATCACAAACCATCTACTGTTTGGTGAAACTAGATTCATTAGAAAACCATTAGAAAACCAAGTGCATAAGATCCACGGTGGACATAAGATCCAACTTAACAGGTATTTCCTCCCTGTGGAAGTTGGTGGCACCTAAAAGCTCATAGGTTCTCTTTGACATTTGAATGCAGTGGGGAATGCTCTTTCTTATATTCTGCCCACCACTATCATCCAGCCTTGTAGAATTGCTGCTGGCTCCTCTGCCACTCATGGCCAGCACTGAATCAGAAGCCTTCAAGTAATTCCTTGATCCCTCCACTTCACCCAGCCTCAACCTCTCTCTCAAATGGTCTCCTTTCAAACAGAGCCTTAGTTCTCTTTCAGCAGCTGATAGGTGGGGTTGGCGATGGTGAATTCCTTGTTCATTCCTTGTTCATTCCTTGTCCTCCCTTCCTCTATTTGCCTATTGGGCAACATGACAGCTACTGAAATGCCATTGAAGCATCCATCTGAATTTGTCTGTCCTGGTTTGAGGGAGAATTTCAGCAGGATATCTTTGGAGAGACAATGGAGCTGGGGAAATCCACCAGCCCTGTCCTTAAGTTGACCTCCAATAAATCATAGAATCATAGGGCTGGAACGGACCTCGGAGGTCTTCTTGTCCAACTTCCTGCTCAAGGTAGGAGCCTTATACTATCCCAGTCAAATGATTGTCCAGTCTATTCTTAAAAGTCTCCAGTGATAGAGCACCCACAACCCCAGGAGGTAAGCTGTTCCATTGATTGATTTCTATCACTATCAGAAAATTTCTCCTTATTTCAGGTTGCACCTCTCTTTGACAAGCTTTGGCATACAGAAGAAAGCTCTCTTTTCCATAGAAGGAACAAGACTGGTATTGGAAGGGTACATTTAGCTCAGGGTACTTCCCTTCTGAGCCTGGATTGGCAGATAGCACTTCCTCCATCCCCAGGAGGACACTTTTCATACCTAGGTTTAATAAAGGGAAGAGGAAATGAGGATTTTTACACCATGAAGAAGAATCCCATGTTATCCTCACAAAAAAAGAATGCCATTATTATGTCTTCTTTGTGAGCTGTTCTCTCTCTCTTTTGAAGCTACAACATAGTGGATATAATTTCTTCTGGACACACCCAAGCATTGTCACAGGGCTGACCTCCAACGTTACGCTTAACAAACTCTTCTGAGATTTCTAGGAAGCTCTTTCCTTTTGTCTCCGGGAGGAAAAACCATACATAGAGAGTGGTTCCAACACAGACGATGAAGAATGGTAGGTAGCAGTAATAGCCAAGACTTTCCTGAGGGGAGGAGGAGAGAAGAAGGGGATCAGCACATAAAACATATGTTGACAGGCACATACAAGCAGAGCCAAAGCTTTGCTGCAAAGGGGTCCTCGGAGTGGCCTGCTTCCCACCATCCCCCTCCAGTAATGTGTGACTTTTATTGGCAGCTCTTCTTTCCATGTTGACTTACTGTTCCTAAATGCAAGAGATGGAGGCTCTTAAAGAAAAGGGTGCTGTCATCTCCTTATTTGACTCTTTCAACTGCTCCTGCTTTTTACATGTCCCAGTGTTCCTCCAGAACTGCCTTTGATTCCAGTTCCCCACTCCTGGTCCCCACCATCCTGCTCCCCCACACAATATCCCTTGGCCTGTATGCTAAAGATCCAAAGATCTATGCCAGGTCTGGCATGCTGTTCTCTTCAGTTGATTTATGCATCCAGGACTGTTTCATGACTTACTGAGATTTCTTACTAACAGAAATGGAATGAGGGAGAGTGACCATGTCATATTCAAATTCAACATTATGCAGAACAAAGTGAAACTAATGACTTAGACACTGAAGACCTTTAGACTAGAAAGAGCTGTTTTTAATAAACTTAGAGAGGGCTTGGGAAGGATTCCATGGATGAAAATATTTAAGAGTAAAAAAAACTCAAGAAACTTGGAAAACACTGAAAAATTGGGTTATTAAAAGCCCAGTCTAGCACAATACCATTCAGAAAGAAAAATGAGACACCAGAAGAAACCAAAATGATTTATTCATATGAAGAAGGAAGAATTGTGATGGTAGAAATAATTTTACATCAAAAACAAACACTTTTGGTAGTAATATATGTACCAAATAATAAACAAGAAGAATTTTATCAAAATCTTCATAGAAAAATACTAGAAATGGAGTATCAAAATATTTGTCTAGTAGGAGATTTTAATGCAACAGTAGATGGGACATTAGACTATAAAAGTAGCAAAACAGGAAAAAGTGGAAGAAAAAGATTACCTAAGATTTTTTTTAATATGATAGAGGAAATTGGGGTACAAGGTACCTGGAGAGAAACTAATCCTGGAAAATTACAATACACATTCTATTTGAATAGCCATAAAATCTTGGTCCAGAATTGATATGATTTGGATAACGCCTGAATTAAGGACCAATATGCAGGAGATTGAGATAGAATTAGGTACTTGGGCATATCACAACCCTTTAAAAATCACATAGAAAGGAATATAAAAAATCAAGATGGACCTTGAACCAATCCATATTAAAAGAAAAAGAATTTATAGAACTAGCAACAAAAGAAATGGAGTTCTTATTTAAAGAAAACAAAAAAGAAGATACAACATTACAAAATGTATGGGATGCAGCCAAAGCATATTTTAGAGGTGTAGCTATGACATATATGGCAAAAAAAACAAAGAAAAAAGACAATTACACATACTGTTAAGGGAAGAATTTAAAAAACTAGAATTAGAACCACAAATAAATCCACAAAAGAAAATACTGAAAAAACAAATGGAAATAATAAAACATAAATTAATTTTAATGGAATCAGAAAAATTGGCACAGCAAATTAAAAGAGCAAAACAAAACTTTTTTGAAAACGCAAATAAACCAGGAAGATGATTAGCCTATAAACTTAAAAAACAGGAGAAAAAAATTGATAAGTAGTCTAGTAAACAAAAAAGGCTGTTTACAATTTAAAAAGATAATTAAAGAATACTATGAGAAACTGTATGATATAGAAAAAAATTCATGGGAGAAAACTATTTAAGATATGGAAAAAAATAACTTACCAAAAATTTCAGAAAACTTTAAAATTGTGTTAAATGAAAAAATAACAATGATGAAATTGACAGAGGCTATAAGAAGTCAAAAAAATGAAAAAACATGGGGACCAGATGGGCTACCAGCAGAGTTGTATAAATGCCTACAAGGTACAGTGCACCATTGAAAGATGTGTGTAATGAACTTTTGTTGGAGGCTAAACTAAATACATGGACAGAAGCAAATATTAATTTAATACCAAAAGAAGACAGATTTGACACAGATAAAAAATTATAGACTTGATATCATTACTAATTATGGATTATAAAATTTTTACCTCAATGATAGCGAAGAGACTGAAAAGATTTCTAACTGAATTTATACATCCAGACCAAAATGGATTCCTACCAAAGAGACAAGTCAAAAATAACCTAAAAGTTATAATGGACATATTGGAATATTATGAAATGAATCCAGGAAAACAACTGGCACTAGCATTTTTAGATGTTCGAAAGGTGTTTGATAATGTTTCCTGGCAATTTATGACTCAACAACTAAAAACAATGGACTTTGGACAAAACTTTATAAATATGATTGAAACAATATACCACAAATAAACAGCAAAAGTGATTGTAAACAGAGATTACACACAGAACTTTGAGATAAGAAAAGGTACAAGACAAGGATGTCCATTATCTCCACTGATTTATATTAATCAAGATCAGACAGGTATTCTCTTACCTTTTTCTTGCTTATTTTAATTTTTATTTCTAGTCTGTCTTTTACAGTTAGGTTTTTGATAGGTTGGGCTATAGTTTCTTTTTGCGTGAAGAATGAGTTAAGTAGCTCTCTACTGCCTGTTACTTCTTTGCCATCTTCTCTCTTGACTTTTTTCTTTTTATTTGTATGTTGAAAGAAACTTATTATCTTTGACTTTTGTTGCAAGTCTTTGTTCATTCTGAGCCTTTGCTTTCCTGACATCATATTTGCAGATTTGGGCTATATGCTGATACTTTGCCTTAGTTATGTGTCCCTCTTTCCATTGTTTGTACTTAGCCTTTTAATTTATCAGAGAGATCGTTGTGCAACCATGTTGGTTTCTTCTTGGATTTCTTGTTTTTCTTTTTTAGTGGTATTATGCTGACCTAGGCTTTTATGATAATATTTTTCATAGTTTCCCATGCTTCTTAAGTTATTTTCCCCTTTAGGATTTTTATCCATGAAAATTTGCTTAGGCTTTCTCTAAATTTGTTAAAATCAGCTCTTTTAAAGTTTAAGACACTGGTTGGATTATAGTCTATTGCTTGTGTTTGCATTGTATTGCTGTCAGAATCCAGTTACATTTCATTTCTATCTATCTTCTCTGATATTAAACCAATTCTTACTCTCTCCTGGATCCTGTCATACTACTAAGGAGGAGAGGGGGGTATGCATGGGTTTTTTTTATTACTTTCACTTCCTCTATTCACTACAAAGTAATCTTTTGTTGATTCACTTTGGGTTTGCTAACCATAACAATGTAGCTGTCAGAGGTTCCGACTAATGAAGCACTTCAAAGAACTTTCAGGCATGTTTCCTAAAGTCTTTATTACAGAGCTACAAATTGCCGGTCACCATCATGGACGTTGTGATGCCAGAATCTGACTTCCTCTCGCTGGCATCAATCTTTTCTTGCTAAACCCCTCCCTTATCTTGCAGTCACAAGTCACATTATCCAATTAGTGTGAAGATCAAAAGTTTACTTCCTCTTTCTTTCCTGGGCTTCCCCCCCCCCCACTCTAAGCTATTAACCCAGTAAATACCAGACAGTTTTGCATATTGTCAAAGCAAGAATATACAGTATTTGCAGCATTGACATCCGGCCCCCCTTACAAGAAGGACAGATCCTGTAAAGTAAACAAAAGCATATGTTAAGGGTTATCTTTCGGTTTGCTGGGGTGTTTCACATGAAACCTTTCGATCAATCTGTCAGCGTTCACTTCACTAGATTTCACCCAGGTGGCTTCAGACAACAGGTATCCCTTCCATTGTACTAAGTACTGTAATTTCCCTCTAAAGATTCTGGAGTCAAGAATACGTTTCACTTCATAGTGGGTCTGCCCTGCCACTACGAGGGGTCCAGGTGCCTTCTTTGGAGGAGGTCTTAAAGTGGAGCCCCAATAAGGCTTCAACAAACTACAATAGAAAACTGGGTGAATTTTCCCTAACAGTTTAGGGAGTTTTAGTTGTACTATGACTGGGTTGATGACCTTTACTATGGGGAAAGGCCCCAAGAATTTTGGTCCCAATTTCTTGCTGGGCAATTTGAGGCGTAGATATTTAGTTGACAGATAGACCTTTTCCCCAACTTGGAATGTTCTTTGGGGAGCCCTCTTTTTATCAGCCTGCTTTTTATAGGTTTCAAAAGTCTTTTTTAAAGCAGTTTTTGTGTTTTTCCAAACTTCTTCCCACCCTCTCACCCATTGATCAAGTGTCTGTAAAGTGGAGGGCAACTGAGGATATTCAGGTATTGGGTTAAATTCTTTCCCTGTGGCTACTTTGAAAGGCGTGTAGCCGGTGCTGCTGTGCACGGAATTATTGTACGCCACCTCCGCAAAAGGAAGGAGATCAGTCCAGTTCGTCTGTTGGTAAGAAACGTAGCACCTAAGATATTGCTCCACCATTTTGTTAGCGGCTTCGGCGGCCCCATTGGTGGCCGGATGAAAAGCAGATGATAACCCTTGAGATGATCCAATTAATGTGAGGAAATTTCTCCAAAACGTAGCTGTGAATTGCACCCTCCTGTCTGAGATTATTCGCTTAGGGGCACCATGCAGCCGGTAGATATGGTTCAGGAACAATTTGGCCAGTCGTTGGGCAGATGGGAATCCTTTGCAGGAGATGAAATGAGCCTATTTCGAGAACAGGTCTATTACAGTCCAGATGACAGTATTTCCCCTACCTTCAGGTAGGTCCACTATAAAGTCCATAGCTATTTCTTCCCAGGGTTGAGAAGGGCCTGCCATGGGTTGCAGTAACCCAGGAGTTTCCCCCGGGATTCTTTTTATTGTGGCACATACAGTACAACTTTTTACATAGTTTTCCACATCCTTTTTCAGCCCTGGCCACCAGAATTGCCGGCGGGTAAGGTGTAGGGTTTTCAAATATCCAAAGTGTCCAGCCTGCTTTACGTCGTGGCTGTGTTTGAGAGCATTAAGACGGAGCGCTTCTGGCACATATAACTTCCCCCCTTTGTAAGCCAAGCCATCCCTGC